TTGTTGTGTTTTTTGCCAGAAAACAATTGTGTTTTCATGTGTTCCTGAGCCCCAACGTGTTGACTGTGTGTGTGCTGCTCTGCACACACACACACAAAAAAAACTGCCCACAACTTGTAAATGTCAAGATCATAGGTCTTGCCCTAACGGAGCCACTCGGAAAAAGTACACAACTGTTTGCTGTAGTTTCATTAGTTTTCATTATTGATTAAAAATTTCATTGATCTGCTTTGTTCGAATGTCGTGCTTCCCACTTGCTATTGTAATTTCATCCTTCACCACAGTCCAGTCAGTATTTGCAAAGGGGATAAAGATACAAACTAGTTCATTGCTAAATAATTCTTCCCCTGAATGTTGGAGACAGCAAAATGAGCCTGGGCAAAATGTTTCCCCCCCCACCCCACCAACATAATAAATTGTTTCAATAATAGAATCGTAGAAATCGAAGCACAGAAAGATGTGATTGAGCACATCATATCTGCGCTGGCACTAAATAACCCACAGGAGCAAGCACAAAATGACCCATAGGACCTACTGTGATCTCAATTTCTCCACATAGCTTTAATGTTGTTTTCCTTTTAAAAACTGTTATGAATTCGGCTCCAACAGACATTCGCGCTAAAGCACTGCGCATTGCAACGACCGTCTGTCTGTACACGTTTCTTTTACCTTACGTGTTAAAACTTGCAGACAGTTCCCCCCACCCGGTGTGTTGAACTCAGTGGAGAAGAGTTCAGTCTCTGCATCGATAATATGGAGTCAGCCTGGCTGTGCAGGTGGTGTCAGCCGGGCTCAGCGTCGGTGAGCCGGGCTCAGCGTCGGTGAGCCGGGCTCAGCGTCGGTGAGCCGGGCTCAGCGACGGTGAGCCGGGCTCAGCGTCGGTGAGCCGGGCTCAGCGTCGGTGAGCCGGGCTCAGCGTCGGTGAGCCGGGCTCAGCGTCGGTGAGCCGGGCTCAGCGTCGGTGAGCCGGGCTCAGCGTCGGTGAGCCGGGCTCAGTTGGTAGCCCTCTGATGTGTTGAAGTCCCAAGTCAGGACTTTCAGTCACAGTCGAGGATGACACACTCCAGTGCATTGCTGGAAAGGCACTGCGTGGTTGGATTGTTGCCTCGTTGGATGAGATGATAAATCGAGGTCTGCCTGTTCAGGGGAACGTTAAAGATGCCATGATACTATTTGCAAAGATAAGGGAGTTTCTCCTGGCCAACAATCGTCCAGATGACAGATCGGCTGACTTATCTCAGCTGTTTGCGAGACATATCTGCATGCAAATTGACTACTGTGTTCGCCCAGAAAAAAACAGTCACTGTACTTCCCAGTAAAACCTGTGAAGGGTTTTGAGACTTCCTGACGCTATAAGGTGCAAATTCAAACGCAAGGATAATTATTGCTATTAGGATTATTATTATATTGTTATTTAGATCCTACACTCAACGTGTATACAATTTTTTGATGCAGGTATGAACGTCTTTCATTATGAATTCAAATTGATTTCCTCCACAAAATATCTTTTTTTTTCCAAACCGGCCTTTTTTTTCATTTTTAAAAAAAGCTTGCTACAAGTTCACAAAAACATTTAAACTACTCACAAGCCAAAGAGGAACCGACATGAGAACCACACACTTATTTATAGATGAAAGATAATAATAATTCTCGAATTTTAGATAGTTTTACAGATAGCAGGCTAAAGGCATGGAGGTTATCTTTTGGTGGCTGAAGAACTTGCATCGTAAAGGTTTCAGATGTCTCCAACTGAAACGGTCCCTGTCCGTACTATTCGAGATACGTTATTTAGAGATGCCAAAGGTAAGCGACAAACATAGATAAACATATTAAGCTACAAATGTATATCTATGCAGATACGGACAGATGGTTTGCAATCGAGCTAACCTCTACCTCGAGAAGCTTTGATAGGTGAGAAAACCAACTTTTGGTTAGGAGAGCAGTCCTTTTGATGCGGCAGTGATAAAAATCTGGAGGATCTAGAGCTTTCTGTGAGTAAAAATCCCTTCCAAAAAAACAATAATAATAATCCAATAATCCAATCAATAATAACTCAATCCACAACTGTTTGTGGGGCACTGCTGTGCGCAATTGGCTAACGAGTTTCGCCCACAAACTATACAGTCAATTCACATTATGGTATATTCTTTGAAGCGCTTTGAGAGGTCTCAATGATGTGATAAGGCTCTATATAAAATGCAAAGATTATTATTACTATTATTATTATTATTAATAACCACAGGCGCTTCTGAACCAATTGGGACAATTAATTGTCAAGAGCAATACAAAATCCTAACAGCGGTAATAGCAATAATGGAAGTATAAAGTCGGGTGAAACTGGTCTGCTTCAGACAGTGGACACTCAAGACAGATGTAATGGGAAATCTCTGAAAGGTATTTAGATTCTTTTTTGCCCCGTGTCCTTGTGGGAGTGCAATTCCACAGGTCGTAAGTCACCCTCCAGTTGTGCATCAATCAAGAGGCCACTGTTCACGTGCGAGGCTTGGCACGAAATGCCAGCAGGCTGTTCAACCTGGGACAAGAGTAATTGCAACCAAACTCAATCCCATTTTCACTTATCACCCACACAAGCACACCATCTCCAGTACAATCCCAATCCAATTTACCTCTCTCTGTTTGACGTCTTTCATGTTGGGAGGATGTCTCGACAGCCCCAGGGTGGGAACCGAAGGGGGTGGGGAGGAGCAAGATGACCAAAAGCACAAGCAAATGTGAGTGTGTGTGTGTGTGTGTGTGCGCGAACGTGCGAGTGGGAGTGTGAGAGTGTGTGCGCGGGAGTGTCCTGAAATGAGTCTTGAATGAGGGAGGGAACAAGTTGGGAGAGATTCCATTATGGAGTTCCAGAGAGCACGGCAGAACGGGTGAAACCTTACCCACCAACGGCAGGACAAATAGGACGGGGGCAATGAAGCAGGCCGACGTTCACTGAGCGAAGGGAATGGCCGGGTAGGGTGTTGTCACAGGAAGTTGCAGAGGTTGGGGTGGGGCCAGATCACAAAGGGGTTGGAGGGTGAGAATGAGGATCTTGATCCGACGGGGAGCCAGTGGAGCTGAACAAGAATAGGTGATAGGCTCACAGAGCTTGGTGCGGGAGAGGACATGGCATGCAGAGTTCTCCGCAGTCTGCAACCAATGCAGAAAAGAGTTGGGGAACTCAGAAAGCAGGGCGATGACACACTCAAGGTCTCAAGGTAAAGGTCTGATGAGGTTTCTCAGCGGTCCAGGGGGAAGAGGTAGCGGCAGAGGTGGGCAATGTTTCTTTTGCGGTGAGGGAACGCTGAACAGGTCAGAGCACGGACGTGGGGTTTCGAGGACAGTTGGGAGCCACACAAGACACCGAGGTTCGCAGAGGCACTGCGAGATGGAGAGAGAGTGCGTCCACACAGGTTGATGCCGTTAGCACCTTATCTCCTCGGGAATCGATGGGAGCCAAAAAGGGGAATCTTGGTCGTGTCGATGTTCAACCAAAGAAAGTTAAAGCTCATCTAGGACTGATTGCCTGACAGTCAATTGGTCAGAACAGCAGTGGTCCTGTAGTCCTTGAAAGAGGTTGCAATGGGCAATATGAGTCACCATGGAAACACTGTCTGAAGCTTTCCTTCCCGAACGCAGGGCACTCAGTTCATTTGTAACACCTGCCATGAGAGCTGAGTGCGGCTAATTCACCACAGCTCTAAATTACAGAATTTTCAAAGAAACATAATTATATTGCAAAATGACACCCTTTCAGTTATGCTATAGACGTAACAAGAAACACTTATTTCGAAGATATCAGAAAAACAAGCGTTTCTTTATTTCAGCCATTCCGGAGCCCTGAACTATACTGAACATCAAAGGAATAATACGTTAGGACACTCCAAGACAGCAGAACGAGAGGACGTAGGTTTAAAGTTGTAGACGGCAATTCCGGGACAGATACCAGGAAGTGTTTCTTCACTCAGAGTGTAATTAACAACTGGAACAGTCCTTTCAAGTGGGACGTTCAACCCTTATGCCTGTTCAGGTGGATGCTAAAAAAAATCCTACGGCACGATTGGTTAAAAAAAGGAAGGGAGTTTCTCCCGGTGTACCGGTCAACAATTCCCCCGGAAAAAAAAGTGGTTCACTTCATCGCTGATTGGATATTGCTGTGCGCAAAATAGCTACCTTGTTTGCCTACAAAACACACAGTCCCTAAACTTCACAGTAAATCCTGTGAAGCCACTTTGAGATGTCCACCCAACGTGAAAGGCAAGGATTGTAGTTTATTGTTTACCGATTTGATGTTTTGCTTCCCTTGTGGGGATGGAAGGGGGAATCAACCGTCCCAAAACGGTCTCGGAGGCTGGTTCAAAAATTTCCACCTCAGTCAAACTAAATGGAATGAGTCCAGGAATGCCAAATAAATCCAAGTGAAGAACATCCTTTGACTCAAGTCAATGATTTGCTGCAGCATCAAGCTAATTCTTACGTGTGCTGGCATCAGCCAACCTTTCCTGGGAAACATCTTCTTCAAACAAAATACTTGTTTACTGAATCCTTTTGAAGCAAGTGAAGTACAACTACCCGCGCTACAACTACCCGCGCCCAGATGTCATGGCATCTAATATTTGTGTTATTTCTTCCCGGGATTCTTTCAGAAGGAACACTGTCACAATCCCTGTCAGCTGACACCAAAAACTCTACTCCAGACATAGACTGAGTCGGAACAAGATTCTCGCGGGGCGACGAGATGTCCTTCAGGTTTTTGGAGGAGACCAACTCCTGTTGCGCGAATTGCATTTCTTATTAAGGAATTCCATTATAAAACTGAACCCAGACGTTATTTCAAGCTGATTCAAACATCCGATTGTTTCAAATGTTCGACGACTGCAATCTTTCGTCGCTTCAGCCCGGGGAGAACGGTCCGGGCACAAAACGAGGTCAATTCCTACAGAGTTAGGACCTGGACTTTCTATCCTAACCTCTCTACTTTACCTCAATACAAGCATTTATCCTACCTTGAAAGGGAATGGCATCTCGGTGATCGGGCTGACCGGAAGTGAGTGAGTGCTGCTTGCAGGGCTCATTTCTGCACTCTGGAAAGAAAAGAAAGGTCATCAAAACACAGGGCTTTCATTTTAATCTCTCTGGGTTCCCGACTACTCCAATATCACTCTCCCCTTAGATAAGTTGATTCATCTAATTAGACTACGTATCAATCCATTCAGGCTTTGCCGATATGAAAATATATATATGCAAATAAAAACATTGTTGGATTCAAAATAATCTGTCAACCATCACACTGCATTTCAGTCTCCTTAATACACTTGCTCTCTTCAATAATCTCACTCCTTCCATGGCTGTTTCTGGGACAGTGCTGTACGCAAATTGGTTGCCGTGTTTGCCTACAAAATGCACACAGTCACATCACTTTACAATACATCTTGTGAAGTGCTTTAAGACAACTCGACGTCTTCACCCAACCCATTTCTGTTTCAGTTTTCATGCAACTCAAATCAATAATCAATGGACTGCTTCCACTGTAATATCTCTTGAAGGTTGTTTAAATTAAATTTACGGGGAGACTGTACGGTGGTGGGGTGGAGAGAGCAGGGAACGTTGGGTAGGTCAAACATTAAATATAATGGAATGTCAGAGGACATCTAATCAATACAATGCAAAATTACATTTGTGTAGCGCTTTTCACATAGGGAGGACGTCCCAAGGCGCTGGACAGTCAGGGATTCGGACCTGAGCAGGGCTGGTTGGGATCAGGGAGGGTGGAGGGCAGGGAAGGAGGCTGAATGTGCGGTGGAAGAGGAGGGTCTTGTGACGTGACTGGATGGGAGGCAAGGGAATGTGGGATGGAGTTCAAAAGGGTGGGGGCAGAGAGGTTGAAAGCCCGAACACTGATGGTAGGGCGAGTTGGGTGAAGCAGGCTGAGCGGAGGGAGCGGACAGGTTGATAGGGGATGCGTATTTACTTTGCTTCCCCGGGACACATATATTGTAGACATTAAAGACATAGTAGTGTCTGGCATTTCATCACAGGAGTTTCAACAAGAAGCACTGCTTTGCACCCCTGGTGTTCTCCATATGGTAAGGCTCGGAATCCCCGAGGAGGCATTTAGAGACGAAGATCCATGTCAGTAGATCTTACAGCGATTCTATTAGCATAATCTGCAAGAGATCATAGTGAATGAATTAAAGGCACAGACCTCAGAAGTCAAACTAATTTACTGAAGTTCACCAAATCGAGCCCCATTGTTGGGAATTTGATCTCCCAGTCTACACAGGCATTCCAGTGCCAAGGGTGCCCTGCATTGCGAAATGTGGTGTCCTTTGGATGAGACGTGAAGCTGAGGTCCCGTCTGCGTGTTCGAGCGCGCATTAAAGATCCCACGGCACGGTTCAACAAGCGAAGGGTGGTTCTCCCAGCGTCTCGGTCAACAGTTGGTTGGATGTTGCAGTGCACAAATCTATTATCATCACACTATTGAGGCCACGCACCTTATAAAAATGTTCAATCGGTTTCTTGCTGTGGACCCTTTGTTTGAAATGAACTGAAGCCCAGTTCAAAAAGTCTTCAGACCGAGGGTCTGTCAGGGCATGACAATTCTTTCAATCAAGGAACAAAGACTTGATCAAAGCAAGACTGCCTACTGGAAATACAAGAGCCTCAGGTCAGCAGCGAGCTGAGTGTAGAAGAACCTGCAAATGTAGGCAGGTGGCCAGGGTTTCAATTTGGATGGCCTCCCTCTGAATAAACACTGAACAACAGCTGTTAAGTAATAACAATAAAAAAAATCCTTGCCTTTGATATAGCGCCTTGTCGCATCTTCGAGACATCTCAAAGCGCTTCACGGAATACGTTGTAAAGTGACCTGGCCTGCATGTGTTTGTGGGAGAAATGGGGCCGCCAATTTCGCACAGCAGCGTCCCACAAACAGTCGTGGATTGAGTGACCGAATTAGTATTATTATTTTTATTTTCTTGGGGAGGGGTTATTATTACTGGAAAAGCGGTCAGCCAATTGACTAACAACCGGATTCCTATTTACTGCTCGGTAAACAGACGCTGTGGAACAAAGTGACACAGAGGCTGCATTAACCCTTCTGATAATTTATAATTTATCCCGGCAGCATTCTTTCTGGCAAATGGGCAGCCTTCCAACTCCCACCCTTTCCAGCTAACTTCGCAAAGCTCACATTGCTAGCCGCCACCTGGTAATACAAACTCCATGCAACGCTGAAAAGATCACAAGGGATAATTTACATAGGGCCTCCGGGGCTTCCATATGGTTTAATCCCACTTTTAAAATGAGTAAACAAATAATGTTGTTTAACACAGAGAGCCCAGCAGTGCTTTCTTCACCAATAGTTTAAAGGCCATCATTACCGGGCTTCTGCTCAGCCTAAGAAGTGTAATATTCGTCTCAAAGATTCTTTTCTTTTCTTTGAAAAAAAATGAAGCACTCGCTGCAATTTGTACTCCTGGGATGGTTATCCCTGTCTAAACACTTCTCTCTGGGTTGGTTTAAGTGAGGAGAGATCCCGACTTCTTACAAAACTCTTTCATAGCTTCAGGCCCCGATTGCCTCCTCGGCTTAGAATTTCGAAGAGAAAAGAACCCAGAGACAGGTGCCTCTCTCAGGTGCCGCTGGTAAGGGGTATGGAGGAGCGCGCGCAGCTCCACCAGGTACTGTATTGTAAGCGCCAAGATGCACCACGCTGAAACCCGTCAGGCAACAGGCAGGGGAATGCACACTGTGATCCATCTAATAATAATAATAATCCTCTCATTTGATACGGCGCCTTATCACGTCTTCGAGACGTCTCAAAGCTCTGCACAGAATATACTGTCGAGTGAATTGACCGCGTATTTTGTGGGAGAAACACGGCAGCCATTTGCGCACAGGGGCGTCCCCCACAAACAGCCGTGGATTGAAGTGACCAATTTAATATTTTTTTTTTCATTTTGTTTTTTTCTCTCCAGTGGATGCAAATTCTAGTCCTTCTGGGATTGGATACTCTTCCAATATTGCAATTGTGTTTTGCCTGAAAAAAAAACAGTCACTACAGTTGCCAGTAAAATCCTATGAACCACAGGAACTATAGCAATTTCTAGCACTGAAGAAGCCTATTCGGTGCATTGTATCCATCGCGAAGCACTTTGAGACGTCCTTCAAATGTGAGCGGTACTATATCAAACGAAAGGATTATTATTATTATTTCCTATCATTAGGATCAAAATGGTGACATTCACAAACCATTTTCTAAGGACCACTCACGCCTTTGATATTTCGCCCCCTAAATTGGCTTTTTATTTCCCCCTTTGCCAGCGCTAAGAAATCACAAATAGCTTTTTATTTTACAAACTGGATATTTTCGAAAGGCACCAACATAATTCAGCGGTATTTGATTTCCTATTTGGGAATATATTGTCATTTCTCCCCCTCGCCCAACCCCTAGCACCGCGTTCTGACCTGTGTGAACAGTTTGACATGCCAGGATAAAAACCTACCCACGTACAAGTGCCTCGGAGCTTCACAGATTTCCATGTTTATGTATTTATTTGTTATAATTACTGTCAGCCACCTAGTTTCCAAAACATCTATTAGGCAAGAGAAAAACACGGAACAGCATGCTTGTGGCAATTTTGGCTCAGAAAAAAATACGAGGCGAATAGCTGAGGACCAACTAGCTGAAGGCGATCGGGTGTTGCCTCTGCCAGATGTTCGATCCGCAACACATCTGTTTCTTTCCCCACAACGAGCAAGAAGGAAGATCATGTGGGTTTCTATTGACCGGAGAAGTGGGGGGGGGGGGGAGGGGGGAGAGAGGAGAGGAGGGGGAGATAACAATAAAAATCCCTTCGTATTTTTTATCTCAAACCGAAGGCACTGAAATAAAAAGAATGGCGACAGACTCAAACATCTACCTGTGTCGCATTCTGAGCTCATCTTTTCGCAGATATTTCAATTGAAGCAGAGCACAAACTCCGTGTACAGGCAAACAGCAGACCACTCATTCCATCGCTTTACTTCAGTTGCTTTCCTCGGTAGGTTATCTCCTGAACCTTATTGTTCACTGAGGGAACATCTATCATCGCGGTATTGTTGGTACTGGAGCACATAGCGCTACCCACTGGTTACAGTCCTTCGGACGGGATCTCATCGGAGCTGAACTGAGTCCATGGTGACGTGGTTGGCAACGGACTATTGGACTTGAGCGTGTTTTCTAATGACAGCCTCGGTAGTCCGGTTCCTGAGCCAGGCCGGCCCACAGCACGCTGGTGACAGGTCAGGCAGCCTGGCTCATTGGCAGGACTTAGAAGGGCAGTGACCGGGTGACAGGGATTCACAGGGTACATTATGAAATGTAGTGACTATTATTTTTTTTTAGGCGAACGCAACAACCACAAATTACAAATGTACAGCACCTTTCACTTCTAAAGTTCTGAACAATCTTGAATTTTAAGGCGGAGACGGTGAGAATATTTGGGCCTCGTGAGTTGTTGAGGGATTCATCGAGGAGGAAAGGAAAGGCACAGTGAACAAGTGATGGTTTGGGGTCTGTGGAAGTTTATGGGTTTGACTGGTTTTCATGTCCGCGTGAAGCCTTCACACACAGTGATGGATAACCTCTAACCCTAAAGGAAACTTGCCAAGGTAGACTGTCCAATTAATTTGTCTCCAAAATAGGATTTTTCTTAACAAACCTTCGCAGCCTTTGCTACATGAGACAGATAGATTGTGTGCAAGGAAAGATGCCCTTAAAAGACTTTGTCAGCCTGGTGTTCTGTGTTTGTTATGCAAAGAGGTGTAAATTGATAACACGGACAGACGCTCAAGCTTCCCATTCTAATAGGCTTATTTTTAGATTGTTGAACAATTAATGAGCAAATCACAGCAAAATGCAGTTATATTATAAAGGCATATAGCGCAGAGCAGTTTATGCTCTGCCCAAAGCTTACGAGGAAAATGTTCTTCACTCCCCTGTCCAATCTATCCCCGACACTCCGAGCAAACTTTGACACTGGGTCTAATGTTTAAGACTTGCAAAAAGATCTGTAAACAAATAATCTTTCAGGTGCCC